GACCTTTTTCTTAAAAAGTCTTTTCATATAGAAAACTTAGATGATATGGACAAAACTATTAGTCCACACATTTTGTCTTCCACCCCATGCAAGGTGTCTTTACAAACATTTACACTGAATTTAATGTAACAGTCAGTTTTTCCTGGACACTAAACCATCAGCTGTGGTATTACTACACACTGGAAGGGTTTGGAAACCACACTATTTCGCCCTTGACGCAGCAGAGCACATGAAGCTTCACGGCGGAGGTGCCAGATGCTGATGTGTTCCAAGCCTCCTCTGACATTAACATCAGCACCAAAAGTGTGCAGTGGGAGCTTCGTGGCTTGCTTTTCTATGGTCTCCACTCTCACGGCACACTGTGAGCCAGGTTGCTATAGAGATGCTGCACACACACCCAAACACCTAGCCAGGTGATAGCTACTTTAGCTCTTACTTGGTTTTATTTTGATTTTAAATGCCGGTACCTCGTTAGTGCCCAGCTTTGCTGCCCAGTATCCATTGCAGTGCACTTCCCATAACCCATCAGTCCATCAGACGGCGCAGGTCAGACATGAGTTATAAAGCTCTGGCTGTGATGGATATCTTGTCTGACTGACTGCTTGATTAACTGCAACAAGCCATTGTTTAACACATCTGCTGTAACTCATATTTATATCAGTCACCAAAATAGGATATATATGCTTCAGAAACTACTAGCCAGATTTTCAGGTTAGGGTTAATCATGTCAACCAGCACATGTCTACACTTACACAACTTCCCCCCCTTTTTGCCACAGCAGTATATGTGTGTTACAGTGTCTGCCCTCTGTGATCTCAGACCCTTCTGCCTATTCTATCATCTAGTCCCCTCCTCTGACTAAAATATAATACTGTAATACGGAGTAACGTCCTGGATGTAATGAGGGAAGGTCACTGCTGACTGATCCAGCAATGTGAAACTCAAATCTTCTGTCTGCACCTCCCCCAGAGTCAATACTGTCAGTTAAATCAAACAGCTCTAGCTTGCTCTGGATGCACAGTTTTTGCACAGACTGGTATGGCGTGCATTTACAGGAGCGGTCAAACCCATGTCCTTGTTTTTGTGGTCGTTTGTAAGGTCCCCCGCTCTCCCAAGTCTGAACAGGTATGCATTTCTTTCCAGAGAACATTTAAAGCAGTGACTAAAGGTTTTGAACCGTATCCTTGAGGCGACTCTAGTTTTACTGAATGAGCATCTTTAATCCATACAACCTCGGCCACACAGGTGTCTACGCTCCTTTACACACGGAGGAAAGTTCCTGTTAAAGTTTCAACTTTGACTCTCCCAGAGTTTTCCTGTAAAATGCGTCTGGGCTCTTATGGATTAATATCTTGATTAAAGACATTTCAGTTTTTGTCATAGTGGTGGATCAAAGAAACAGATTACTGTTCTGAAAAACAATAACTTGTGTTTACACTTTTGTGTTTGCAAAAAACCCAACCTAGTAAGATAATTAATGAGAATAAGATGTGGTGGGTCATTGTTCTTTTGCCTTTGGCTAAAGTCAGGATAGATGTTTACTTTGGTTGTAGGTCTTTATTTGAAGCAAAGCTAGACGTGTTCTCTGCAGATTCATGTCTAGCATACAGACATGAGAGTGGTAGCAAGGTGTTACCGGTCTCTCAATCCTCTAAATCTTCTAAGATGTCAGACTCTTTCTTTTATTGTCTTGAATTCCTTTTGTTCCCTGAATGTTTTTAGCAGACACTGACTTTGTACCAGTGGTATTTTCACTAAAAGGATCTGCTTGTTTTCATCTCCCAGTCTTTTCCTGTAATTTTGGGTAACTAAAAGAAAAATCACTTTCTGTGGCAGTAAAGGTTACCTGGTCGACTGAACGCAGATCCGGTACTGAGCTGCACGACAAGCTGTCCCTGCAGTTTTATCTCAGATGTGTAACCATGAGCTACTGTGAGTATCATCACAAGAAACTGATATTTCAGACAAAGTTTTCCTGATTGTGTTTCCAACATTTCACAGTTCACAACCCCAAAGTACCTCGTCAGCCACGTCTTACTGTGTAAGTGAGGCGAGTAGCCAAAGATGAGAAGACAGAGGACTATGAGATGTTCAGAAATAAAATATACTCAACACAAGCCTTGCAACAGATGTCAGCTTGTAAAATTCAGTGATTATAGTTGCAATAAAGCATTAAGTGGTCAGACTAATGTATTTGTTTTTGCTACTTTTTAAACTTGACCCTGATAAGGAAGAGCAGAAGAGGATGGATGGATGGGAGGATGGATGGATGGATGGGAGGATGGACGGATGGGAGGATGGACGGATGGATGGGAGGATGGAGGGAGTATGGATGGATGAGAGGATGGATGATGGATGGGATGATGGATGGGAGGATGGATGAATGGATGGAGGG